TGTGTGTGTGAGTGTGAGTAGTATGTTCATCTTCAGCTCAACCCAATGCACATATTGTGAATCTAATTGTGTTGTTTTGTTTTGTTATAACAGACAGCAAGAGAAGGAGGAGGAGGACGAGGAGGAGGAGGGAAGAGGAGGAGGAGGGAAGAGGAGGAGGAGGGAAGAGGAGGAGGGGAGGGAGGAGAAAGGAGGAGGGAGGATGACTTATACAGGATTGGCCATCAACGGAATAAAAAATGTCAGCGGCTCGTAGAACTCGCACCTGACAGACTCTGTACTTCTTTGTCCGTCTTTACATTAACATATTATTGTGCCACTGTCTATCTTCTGTGAATTGCCAGTCGCGCGAGAAATTTAGGAGACAGTTCTATCGCACGCTGCTGAAAATTTTAGCGCGATGTGGTCGAACATAATACAATGTACGGGGTGCCCAATAGTGCCCATTGGGAGATCGGGTGTGGTCGGGTCGGTTTGCTAGCCAGATTGAGAACGCAAAGCAGCTTTCGTGGCACAAGTCGATCGTGCCCCACTCGTCGCCAGAAAAAAACAAACGCGTCTATTTTCAGGCGACGAGCGGAGCGATCGCAATCGACCTGTCCCATTCCCATCTGCAATGTGCACCCCGTATTAGGATACACACCTCGCAACTACTAATCACTAGCGACTGTCGCGTATTAGGATACACACCTCGCAACTACTAATCACTAACGACTGTCGCGTATTAGGATACACACCTCGCAACTACTAATCACTAGCGACTGTCGCGTATTAGGATACATACCTCGCAACTACTAATCACTAGCGACTGTCGCGCGCGACTAAACGTCACGTCGCGCAATAGGAGACATATTATATTTAGGCCGTAGCTTTTTCACTTTTGTCACCGCGACTAAAACAAAATAAAAACGAATCGCTTTGTTTAGTCTTCTCGGGTCTTTGCGTGCGGGTCCATAAGTGGGATAACCAACAGAATCTAGAAGCACATGAACGAAGATCACTGCAAACTGAAGTTCCGACTCATTTTCTTTCATGTGAGCCTAAAACAGGTTAAAAAAATAATGGGGGATTTTCAACATACGCAAAAAAGTGGACATATTAATATTATTTTGAGGAGCCCCACACTTTATAACTCACACTTCTTAAAAACTGCCCAAATTACGGATGAGTACTTGTCGAGACTCACGTGGAGATGTCTTAACAGTCTGTGGAGGAAATCTACAAGCCAACATTGAAATACGGGGACAGGGTGGTGTCGTTTTCTCTAAATGAGTAATTCGTAGGCTAGGTTATGCGGTGTTCACACATACAGGAGTAAGACAAAATTTCAAAGGTCTGGGCTACTCTGGATACACTTCGTCGAGCAATCGGCCTCCCTCCCCGAGTGATATTTCATGCTCGCCATGTGAAATTATTACACAGGCTGCGTGCGGAAATTTTCAAAAAATTATGTCAACAGTCATGGCCAGATGCTCGTCACGATTAAGCCCGAATTTGGCATTATCTTATCGGGAATTGCGCGTCGACCTTTTTCCTGCATGTGTGAACACCGTATTACTATACTTTATTTGTTGTAGTGATCCTGCGTATGTACCCAAAGAGCGGCTTCTAACAAATCAACAGGTTGGATGTTAAAAATAAGATAAAATGAAACACTTTTTAACCAACAACTCACCTCTTTGAGACACTACGCCAGCTATGCACTTCATAAAAACGGAAAACGTTTTTCCCCCCCTTCTTTTGTGACCGCCTGGGCGAAGAGAAAACTAGGTCTCTGGTTCTTTTGCCCTCGCACAATGACTGATAGCCAGTGCACTTTAAAAAGCGACCCACACCACACCACAGAACTCGGAAAATACAGACATCGTAGCCTACTTGCAGGCATTTTTACACCACCGTTCGACACAATTTTAGACTTAAAAAGGCAGGCTGCATCAACCCTGCCTGTCAGGGGCAATCCGAGCTGGTAGGGACACAACGTCCCAGCAGACAGACGAGGATACTCAATAGGAAAATCATCCCACACGGGAATCCAACGGACATCTTTTGCGCGTAATGGCGGAACGACAAACCAAAACCCCACAGACACCGGAAAATTGCATTGAACCACACCATAAGTACAGTCACAAATGACCATTCTGTACTTTTCACACATCTACAGCGTCTCCGTTTTTCAACTCTAAAAACAAAGAAGGTTAATCCACCTTAACATACAGCCAATTTTGCCATCCAATCTAATCAGTGTCACGAACATTCTCATAACTCAGTACCTATTTAGTTTTAACTACATGTATTCGAATAAAATTAACACCAAACTGATCAGATTGATTGATTGGGTAGATGTTTTACGGCACTATCGACACAATTTTGGTCATTTAAGCGCCATCAGGTTTCACCGCTACAAAA